AATAGTAAGTATGGACTTTATGATTGCATGAGTACTGTACTGCTCAATAATACGTTCTGGTTCAAATCAGTACTGTAGTTAACTATCAATCTGCCAATAACAATTTATTAAGTACACTAGCAATCTAAGAAAAACAGCATGTATATCAATATGAGTGCATTGTAAACAGCCTGTGTAATCACAAATAAGAAAATTTCACTCGCTGAAAAACATGAAATTTACTGTACAGAAATTTCTGTACTATGTCATACTGATCGAAGTTTATGGCGCAACTGTTCTTCGAAAATCTGCCCGAACCCCACGAGTACGACTGCGATTGAGTATAGAACAATGGAAGTTATGAACTAAGCCTTTAAGTTCAAAATTGGTTTATGGGTCAGAATTTTAGTAATGCAGAGTAATACCTATAATATGCCCCCAGTGCTCGATCACGACGTGAACTGGCTCGACGTCGATAAAAAAACTGAAGTAATTTACTAACTGAAGAAAAGCCTAAAGGGAGACGTAAAGTCACAGAGAACTTTCTTGAACGTTATCCCAAACTGCGCATTCTGTCGAAATCTACCATGTCATTACTCGGTGCTCCTGTACTGGACGAAGCTGTCGGACCATTACTGGACGAAAAAGCCAAAACGTTGACATTGGTCTGTGAACGGTTGCAAGTACTTCCAAGCCATCATGCGCTGTTTCTCCTAAAAAACTGCCTCGGCGCACCGAAAATTATCTACATGCTACGATGTTGTAACGCGTGGAGATATCCCAAGCTGCTTTATCAGTTAGATGAAACATTGCGCGAATGTTTCCAGAAGTTATCCAATGTGCGTACCAATCACGACGACTATCCGTGCTGGCGTCAGGCATCCCTACCTGTTAGCAGAGGCGGAATCGGCATCCGCCGGTCGGAAGAATTATCTCTCCCAGCCTTTTTGGCTTCGATTCATTCCGTATCCGGCTTGGTGTCCATGCTGCTTCCAGACTACGGAGTAGTAAACGTTACTGAAGCCCTTGATTTATGGAAACTAGGTTCCCGTCAGCCTGACATCCCAGACCTCGCCTTCCGGAAGTCCCAAAAAGCCTGGGATCTGCCACTTTGTAACGTTTCATTGTCAACGTTATTGGACGTGTTCCGAGGTGACGAAGTGAATACAGCCCGCTTGCTTGCCCAGTCAAGGCCAGAAGCCGGCATCTGGTTGAACGCATTGCCTTCAGCTCACATTGGAAACTTGCTGGACGACGATGCCTTGAAAATCAGCGTCGGTTTGCGTCTAGGTGCTACGATCTGTGATCCTCATGATTGTAACAAATGCCACAAACCCGTCGATGGCTATGGTCACCACGGATTGTCATGCGCGTTTTCCGCGGGAAGGCATCCACGTCACGGTGGATTAAACAGTATCATTTGCAGAGCTGCGTGTCTGCGGGTGTACCAGCAAAGTTAGAGCCGCGCGGAACATCTCCTACAACGGAACGCTGCCCAGATGGCTGTACGACATTCGCCTGGAAACGCGGAATGTGTCTAGCATGGGATGTGACATGCGTAGACACAGTGGCCGCGTCACATGTTAAAGCAACGTCCGCCACAGCGGGAGCCGCCGCTACGCAAGCCGAGGAAAAGAAAATCAGACTGTATTCCTATCTGAACGGCCGCTATATCTTTGTCCCAATCGCTTTTGAAACGCTGGGCCCTTGGGGAGCGGCGGCCATCGCCATCGTCAAGGAGCTGGGTAAAAGACTGCGACAACAAACCGGAGAAGTACGATCGCACGAATTTCTTCGACAGCGCCTGTCGATTGAGATTCAACGGGGGAACGCGGCGTCAGTACTGGGCACCATGGATGGAGTGGATAAGCTTACAGAGATTTTTTTATTATAGTTTGAGCGGTTCTGTTTTATATTACCCACAGTGTAACGAGCAACAATAAAATTATAGCAAGGGAGACAGCACTATTGCCTTTAGATAAAATGTAGGTTCCGTCAGTCAACCACGCTATCGTCTAAAACTCTTCAGCCTCCTCTGATTATTAAATATTCATTTTGTCGAATCAACTTAATTATTTTTTAGTAAACAATACGATTTTTGTACCAAAAATATTACATATTTTTTATTAAACAATACGATTTTTGTACCAAAAATTATACGAAAGTGCCATGCGCAAGGCTAGGAAATTTACTGGCCTGACGCACAGAAGTGATCAAGTGACCAAAATTAAATTAGAAATTTGGGTTCTGTTCGCTGAATTTTGGAGTCTGAACCTCAACTTTTTGCGTGGAAACGAAATCCCTGCAGTGTTACAGACCAAGATCTATCATGCAAAAATTTGTTAAAAATTTCACATTTCACGGATAGCAAGTTGAAGAGTCCAAGTCAAAGTTTACAAGTCCAATTTAAAAAGTCCAAGTGTGGTTCAAGTCCAAGTTTTAGGGTAGTAGTCCAAGTCCAAGTCCGAGCCTGAGCGCGGGCCGAGTCTAGGGAATAACTTCTACAGAAATGACCAGTTTCTTTGGAAGCATTATAATGGAAAGATTAAGGGAGAGCAGACCCACGGCCTTGCCTAAACGGCAAATCAGCTTGGCTAATGGCTATTATGAAGGGAAATGCTGCAGATATTTCGGGCAATTTGCCAGGAAGTAATAGACTAGTTAAGCGTAGAATTCCAGCGCGGAAATGCTGTTTCTGTTTTGGTTACTGCGGCTTGTTCGAAGCGGGGTGGCGCAGTTGTTTTACTGTCAGTTTAGTGACTGTTGACTTTGATTTGAGTTTCAGTCAAAATGTCACTGGTTGTTAATAAAAAGTGAATGAACTGTGAAGGCCGACAGCTCCGCCTTCATGGTTGGCCATTCGCCGTTGTGTTTCGCTGTTCTGGAGATTTCCATCCCACACATTTCTGCGGTGTTTTGGCGGATCTACAGCACAGCTGCGCTGACTGTAGGATCCGATCTCATTAGTCTGGTGTTTTCTGCGCCACGGTGCGCACATTAGATTTCGGCATTAAAGCCTAGGTCCGGGTTCGCCGCTGTTTCGCCGTCGAAGGTACGTGGGCGCCCATAAGGCCCCACGTAACAGAACCAAGACCAGTAAATTAAAAACGATTGCCAGAACTGTTAGCATAGTATCAAATTGCAAAGCAGGTTAGCATTACGGTCCAAAGTCACTGCAAACTAGCTACTTGTCGTTGGCTGGGCATCATAATGCATGGTAATGTACCATCAGACCCAGTCGACTCCTGTACACGTTCTCTCTGTCCCTTAATCCAACTTAAGGTACAAAAATCTCATTAGCAGACCTTCACCCAGTCTAGTTGAGTCGGGTGGCAGATAGTAGACTGCATTCTCTGTCAGCCCATAGAACAGCGGTCTTACTTCTGATGGTATACAATATGTGTATGTCTATTGTCTAATAAGCAACCTGTCAATGGTTAAGTGAACTGAGGGCACTCACTAGCGCGTGCATCTCTTACAGGCTGAATGTGCGTATCAATTTTTGCCACCCTCATAAAACTAGATTTGGTCGTGGTGAATGTTTACTTAAGGATACAAGTTATTCGGCTGCTATGAAAAGTAGCATCACTGAAAAGCAGTATATAATATCTTTTCACTATGGTACCATAATACATCGGTGTATCTACTTGGCACACTGTCGATCTGCTGCTCATATCATTCTATATCTTGAGTTGTAGACTTGTTGTCGTCGTTGCACTATAGTGCACCGCGGTGAAAACGTGTCTGTATTAAGGTGAAAATGTAAAAATGCAAAAATGTGAACATCGCTTTTTAACACTTGCACTTTGCGCACCAGCAATTTGAAAGGCACATTGACAGTAATACAGCCCTTTAAAAGTATTGCTTTACGTTAAAAATACAGCAGTACTTTCAAAACGCCTAACATCTAAATCTTCTGTTTCGGCCTGTTCGGGGAGGTCACTTTGGTACACCAGTACTTTGAACGTAATATGGCACTTTCAAAGTATTGCTTTACTTTCGAAGTTATGCCATACTTTCAAATGCCCCAGCTCAGAATCGTCAGTTTCGGCTTGTTCGGGGATGTTCGGGGAGGTCACTTTGGTACACCAGTACTTTGGAAGTAATACTGTAGCCGCTAGATGAAGTGAGACCACAGAGTCTGGTGTACGGAAAAATGTACGCCCAATATACGTACTTTGCTGAGGCTAGCAAACTTTGCTCCATGCAAAAATGTTTTTGATTTCCCTCTGCTGCTACCAACATAAATGGCAACATTTGACGTGTTTTACTGTTCTTTGCTATTTTTTTAATCTTTGCAACGTAAGATACTTCTATTTGTTTTAAGAGCACAAGGACACAGCTCTGATAGTTTTCTATTTATAAATCTGATTTGTTGTGGTTTCTGGGGTGCCCCTGGCAGGGGCAGTACAATATCTGATTTGTTGTGGTTTCTGGGGTGCCCCTGGTAGGGGCAGTACAATACTAAATGCAAAATAAAGGTGTGCCGCCCGGGGGGAGGAAGGCTCGTGCTCAATGCCTGACGAGTGGAAGGCAGCGCCCGGATCTAACAGTGGTCTCACTTCATCTAGCGGCTACAGTATGATAATGTTCTGTCTGTCACCTCATTAATGCATTGCTGAACATGTAAACCGAGCCGTTTTCGAAACAACTAGCCGCTTAAAGCAATCGCAGAGTACGGCTGTGTTTTTCCCCTTATATTATGGTGCATGTTTATGTAAATTATGGTGCATAGTTTGTGCAGCACTGGTGCTTGCGTTTCCAAGTATTTGCGATTCTTTAATGCAGCCGGCAGAAAGGTGGACGGGTGGATGATCAATGAAATCCCATCTACCAATCTGCTGGCCTTCAGCAGATTGGTGGATGCGATTTCCACCATCCACCCGTCTACCTTTCTGCCGGCTACAAGCGAACAATTTTCTTGTTCTCGCTTGTTCCGGCCATTAGCATTTGATTCTTTTATCTGTATTAGTATCTGACGGCATAGTGCTACGATAAACTTGACGATCGCTTTTTTTCAGAAGACAGTGGTGGCAGTCCATTGAAAGACTTTTTGCCTGCGATCAGAATTCTCTGCCTCATTTTATCGAGCCCTAGTAACCAAGAAAAAGCCAAAGCCGTACAGGAAACTTGGGCCAGGCACTGTAGCAGCTACTTTTTTGTAACTGCAGAAAACCGCCTAGTTAATGATTCTCAAAGAATTCTGAACCCTGGCGTACCGGAAGGACGTGATAATCTTTGGGGAAAAACAAAAGCCGCTTTCAGGTAATTCACATTGTCCGGTAGTTAGTCGTCTTACGGTTATCGGTTACCGCCTGGTTACCGCCTGGTGCAATGATATTTTTTCATAATCGCATTCTTAAGATAAAGATTACTTTTGTGTTTCGCGTGTTCGAGATCTCTAATATCACCTAACTCGTTAACGGTATGGAAGCCTTGTAGCTTCAAGAAGCCAGCGCTTTTGCAAAGCGACCGCCCTACTGAACATATCGCGAAATGCAAGATGGATTGGAAGTGTGCGTTTCCTGTTTTCTTAAAGTTCTGTACCCTGCACTGGGCTGATGACAACGAAAGTTAAATGCTGTACAGGTCTGAAAGCCGCAAGGCTGGTTCTGGCCCAATAGAAGGCAAACCCGGCTCTGGTCCATAAGAAAGTTTAGAGGCGGGATCTGTTCGAACAGAGAGTTCTGCTTGAATAAACTGGACTAGCAACGACCGCGGCGCTATCCAACGAAAGTGGATTAATTTGTCGTTTGTATTTAATAAAAGGGTAGCATTTCAAAGCTTAGCAGACGTCCTAAGTGGATCACGTTAATCTTTTAAACTAAAAAACTAACTCTACTGTATAGTGTGTTTAGGTTTTACGCCAAATATTTAACGCACAATTTCATGTACCTAACCGCTAGCATAGCCGTAAACTCTCGCGTTGTGACGTTACTCCGTTTACCCTCGTGCGATCACGTTACGCCGTTATCTCTCGCGTAGTAATGTTACGCCGCTAACCTTCACGCGGTAACGATACGCTGGTTACCCTCTGCAATAAAGATACGTAGCTTACCGTAATAGTTACGTGGATTCTCGTTTGGTAACGTTACGCAGCCTGCTTTCGCGTGGTAACATTACGCTGTCAAATCTTGCGTGGTAAAGTTACGCAGCTTGCTCTCGCGCGGTAACGTTACTCTGCTTCGTCTCGCGCGCTTACATTACGCTGCTTCGTCTCGTGTGCTTACGTCATGTCACCTACTGTCGCGTTCTTACGTTACTCCACTTACTTTCGCGAGATAACGCTACGCTGCTTTGAGTGGTTAAGATACGCCCTTTACTTTCGGCGGTAACGTTACGCCGCTTACTTTCACACGCTGTTTACTCTCGCGTGGTAACGTTATTGCGCTTACTCTAGCGTGGTACGCCACTTACTCTTGCGTGGTAAAATTACGAACTGCTCTCTGCAATAGGGTTACGCAGCTTTCTCTCGCGTGTTTACCTTCCGCTGCTTGCTGTTGAGTGGTAGCGTCACTGCGCGTACTTTCGCGGGGTAACGTTTCGTTGCTTACTCTCGCGTGACAACGTTATTGCGCTTACTCTAGCGTGGTTACGTTACGTCGTTAAGCGGATCACTAAGGATTAGGTTAGGTTTATGTCATTCAATAATGTTAGGTTGGGTTCAGTCAAGGAGTGCTGGCCGAAGTGAACCTCGGCCGAAATGAACGTTGGCCGAAGTGATCGGAAGCGCGTTGGCGGAAGTGAATTTAACTGTTGTTTTACTTAGTAAACTTTTTTGTGTTTTACTTAGCAATTCAGTGAAAAGTAAGTAAAACTGCAAAACAGAACAGAAGTAAGTAAAAGTAAAAGCAGCCGAGTCGTGAAAAGTAAGTAGTAAGTAATAGTAAGAGATACTGAATAGAGAACTTTTACTAAGTAAATAATTCAGTTTACAATTTGTGAGCAACAAATAAACGCGGCCGGCAGTAACAAAACTCTGTCAAACTCAGTTTTTCGTAAAATTTGCGTTTGACAAAAAAGGTTTTCATTTGCAGCGCAAAATTTTCGCTGCAACGCAGACGCTGTTGAGCACTTGGTGCGCGAGTTACGTGACTGTCGGACGGACTGTAATACAGTACTCGTAGTAAATTCTGAATGCAATCGCTATAATTGAAGCGTTGCTATTTTACTAGCCATTGTGGTACCACGCAAAATTTTTGTGTCAAACTTCGGAAGGTTTAAATTCAAAATCTCGTGGCATCTCTTCGGAAGAGATAAATTTGGCAACTCCAGAATTCAATGTTAACAAACTTTGATGCCGACCTCAGTAACCTATGTCAGGAGTTCCGAAGCACTTTCAGTTCGACTCAGCAAGTCAAACTGCGTATATTTCGGGAAAATTTCAATGGCGACCTCTGGGACCGGGGCACGTTCCCCGAGTATTTCAGTTCAGCTCAGCACGTCAAACTGTATATAAACAGTGAAAAAACAGTATATGAACAGTTAAAATTCCTCCCTTTTTTGACCCTCTAGACTCATTGTGCATTTACGGTAAAGCGTGCTGTAATCAGTTTAATCTACTCAAGCTCGCAGACTTAGCCTTTAACACAGACCTGGTTAGAAGCAGCGGATTCCGCCCCTGCGGCCTTCCTATCCTATACCCGCTTGATTTTTAGTATTCAGATGGTCAGTTTGATACATTGACTATCAATAGCCAAACTTAGCTATCTAAAGTAAACAAGATAATATTTTACCGTTTGTACGAGTACTGAAACTGACATGATCATTCAAATTTCAGGCATGCCTATAACCAGCACCTCGACAAATATGATTGGTTTTATAAAGCTGATGATGATACGTACGCGATAATGGAAAACATGCGCTATATGTTGAAGAACGTTTCGCGCAACCAAGCCGTATACTATGGATCACATATCAGGTCACACAGAGTGAAATCTGGTAAGCTGATAGGCAGTCGCACAGTGCGCTAAAATCTTAATTTTAATAATGCACGCCGGTGTAGATCAGTGGTAAGACGGACGGCTACAGACGCATCTGGCACGGGTTTGAGTCCCGTCATCGGCAGATTTTTATTTCTTCAGTATCTTCGGTAAATTCAGAAATTTATATTAATTTTAAGTTCCATTTATAAAATCCGCAGTGTTCTCCTGTCGCAGGCGTCCGCCCTTCTAGAAAGCGCACATTTAAATCTTCAGTGACTGCACCGTTTACCGTACAATCTTATCTTTAATTACCACTCAAGACAAGCGGTTACGTCATCCCCAGCAAGGAACATAGTGAAATGACGTGCGTAAGATTTTGAATAGTATTTAAAGAAATCTGAAAAACGCTAAGAAAAAGCTTACATATTGTGAAGCTGTAAATTTGTGAACTTCGGAATTTATTAATATTTGATTGGCTGTTAACGCAGTGTTATTATTGCATTTCAACCCGTTTTAAGAAGAGATTATACCGATTTCGACCTCTGCCGACTATTCTCATTGGCACAATGCGTGCGCTTGTGGTGCATCATAACTACGCATTTGACACAGCACAACGATATTAATTTTTTACTACATGTTGTGCAAGTTTGAACTCGATTAAGTTATTTTAAAGTGTAAAAGTTGCCAATTGAAAGTCGTTATTTTGCGGAAGTAATAACTTTTGAAGAAGATTTTGGAAACTTTTTATTCAAGCACGAAGCTGTGTATAGCTGAAATGACTGAAGTTCTGTGGAGCGTTTTTTGGACAAAATTCACCCTATCCAGGGAATACAAACTTTTCGACACCGGAAGTTACTTTTATTTATTTTGACAAGATGTGCAACCGTTTTTCGTAAAAAGGCTTCATAATTGTTTTTGAAAATGATTTTTCTTAAATCTGATCAACGTTAGAGTGTTTCTGAAACCGTTACGAATTTTTGTTGATTTTAGAAGTTGGTTTTCGAATTTTTCAGGGTGGGGCGAAGAACCTTCTTTTTTACTGCGCTTTCCTTTAGTCCCACCGATTCTGCGCATGCAGTGCCGCCACACTAGATTTGTGCACACCGAAGAGTGGACTTCGGCCACTGTTTCACGTGCAATCACAAGACAACGCTGTTGCTTTCCATTGTCTAGCGCCTTTGTCATGCTCTATGCGTCGTCAATGTGTAAACATGAGCCTTGCCTGCTCCTGTCACACTAGCAAGCTGGCATGGTATATAACAACCACAAGGTATCTTCCAGAATGAAAGAATCGCTTCTTGAAGCAATCTATCTTTCACTGATTTTGACCACAGGTGGTGTAGATTGATGCCGCAGCCCGCCAAATGGCTACTGGTCGGCAACGAAAAAACTTAATTTTTCGTTGCTACCTAATTTTACTCAACTTCCGCCTGCTATTAGACCTTTTAATACATTGTAGAATTTTGAAAATCTCATTTTCGATCTTGCGGATATGTATAAATTCTCCTTAAACGTCTTTCTTGAAGATTCACCGCGTCTCATCGACGCGCTTTATTAATGCAAATGAACGACTTTCCGTTCTTTGTTGCGTCAGAGAATGAACGTGGATACTGAACAAGCCTTGGCCGGCCGTTATAAACGTGCGGGCGAACCATTTTTGTCCGGGGAACACGTTTCATACAAACAGCCGTTAAAATAAATGACTGAAATTAAAACGCCTTAGTCCGGCGATATTATTCGGTCGGGGATTTTTCCAGAGGTGGTCAGTTTTCATGCGGTGCGTCTTGCTGCTCTATAGCTTCCACTTCTTTCCTCATACAGTAGATGGCGGCGTATGGTTCACCGCCCGCGAAACAGTTTCCAAGTCTTCGAGACGTTTCAAGTTTAGCTGCTTATTTTGCGGATTACATCCTCAGATATCAGCAGCGTCCGCGCTGTTCAAAACGTGGAGCTGTCCCTACGACGACCCTTTGTTTGCGTCCGCCTTTGCAGGTTCAGTCAAATGGTACAGATGGCTGGATGTCCGGTACGGGCAATGGGCACGTGCATCCATTTCAGCGAATAACAGCAACAAATAAAATAAACAAATAATAAGCGTTTCCGCGTTTCTCCACTGGCGAACTGATGGCAGTGTTTCCGGAGTTCATGTTTC